CCCACAGCAGTTACACAACTGAGTGTAAAGTGTTGACACACACAGTTAAGAGTTACACAGATGTGTACATTGTTTGTAGCAGATATCTGATCATTTGGTTCTTTTATTGAAAACTAATTTCCTAGCATTAAATACATACACACAATCAACATAGAAAACACAGGTAATGTTTATCAATGCATTACAGCTCCATGTCAATAACACACACCATTGCTTGTTACCTAGCAAGCTTAGTTACAGACACGATGTAGAAGGTGTGACTAACCTCCAACTTTATCCAACCATAAGGCAATAGAGTGTCAACTCAGGCACTCCAATCAGCTGTCAATGCTGCTTATTAAAATAATTCTAAAATTTCAGCTACATCAAAACTTCAATGAAGTTACTCAATGAATAATGTTAATTTTGAAAACAAAACAACCAGAAATTTATATATGATAGACATTGGTGAATTGAAACTAGCAGAGAAAAAATGAAATTTATGCTACCATGAAATCGAAAGATAAACATTAATTAGAGAATATGAAGAAAGACTAGTAAATATAAACACAATGCCTGGAGCAATATAAAGTCATGTACATGATACTGAAAATTGATTACATGAGAGATTTATAATAAAACTATATTGAGAAGTCACATTAATGACTGACATTAATGATAAAAACTATACTGAAAAGTCACATTCATGACATTTATGATATACACTTTACTGAGAAGCAGGTTTGTTTGTTATTGTGAGTGACAGACATGAAAATATATACTAAACATTATCTACAAACTTACAAAACAATTTATTAAAACATTTTGAACATTTTGATGGGACTTTGTTCAACAATGCCATATGGTGTACAGTTAGTGCAAACCTCCAGGCAGAATGTAAGCACTCTTGATCTCAGCAGGAACCGATTCAACAAAATTATCTACCCATCAGCTTCCTGCTAACAACAGGGAATTCAAGTCTCCTATAGAAATGCACATCTTTGGTATTTTAAATGATCAGAGAACTAGTGACCTAGCTGTCTGTCCCGATGGGTTGCTCTTCAGCCCAACATTGAGTAGACGGGACAGAAAGGTCAATACAGGTCACTGTGATCCCAATGTTAAACCACAGCATTCAAAATCCACTCTCCGCTAGTCTCACTAGCTGTTTGTGTAATGTGTTATGGAGTATTATTGGTTCACAGATTAGCCAATCAGCCGTGACCTTTCTCGCTCACAGCTACCACAACATTGTTTGGAGTATATACTGTAGTTACATAACATAGCTGTCACGATTAGTCGACACTTCATCAGTGGAGCACGGTCCTTACAGTCGGGCAGTGTGGCATCTGTAAAGCAATGACAAAATGAAAGGTAAATTACAAACAGAAAGGTCAATTACAAAGGTAAATTACAAACACAAAGGTAAATTACAAACACAAAGGTAAATTAACTAGACAAGAAAACCCCACAACAGAGAGCTAGCAAATCAGAAACAAAGTGTAGGAAAAACAGAATCTTGAAATACAGCTAAAAGATAAGATTCCAGCTGATTTTCCGTATTTATAAGTTTTATTGACATGTGTTTCTCTTTTTAATGCATTTAACACCCAAACAGTATGATATTATGAAACAATATAATTGCAATGGGATATGCCTCAAGTCTCATCTCATTGGACTATAAGTTAACCAAGAGCACAGAGTTCCTTTGTGTAGTATAGCATGGGTCTAATTTCAAATCCAAGGGTTCTCAGTTTTTTTACCTTGCTTTGATGTGAACAGTCAATAAATACATCCACATCTGTTTTCATTATAATCAAATTAGCAGCATAAATGAAGCACAAATTGTGACAGGGGTTTCATTAAACCTAGCTACATAAACTTAATCAAAAACATCTTTATCAATCTTGCACCATGGAAAGTTACAAATTTAATGTTGACCAAATTTCAGATTTTAGAATTTTAAGTAATTATGTATGGATTTAATGTTTTGCAATTTTAACATTTTTTAATCATAATCTCATCATATTTAAGCAGATTATCATGGGGATTCCTATAGGACATCCACATCCATGGCTCAAATTATATCAACCAAACAAACAACTAGGAATATAGCAGGTAAGTTTGGTACTTCTGTAAGCATAAACAATACATGTTTCAATTCACATACTTCAAGTTCAGAAGTGAGACAGCTAACATCAGTATGGCCACCGATTTTTGGTTTTTGACTTTTGTTTAGATTAATGAGATTGGTATGTACCTTTCTGTAAGACCTGGATAGAGATATCATCCTCCACTTTCTCTTCGTTGTTGTTGGCGATACAGGTGTAGAGTCCTGTGTCATCTAAGGTCAGACTAGTGATGCGCAGGTCACCTCCCCTTACAAACACTCCAGGGGAATTCTGTAGGGGGCGCCCCAGTCTCTCCCACATGAGGGTTGGCTCAGGGTAGCCATACCCTCGACAGGTAAGGTAAAGTCGATCACCTTCCCTTGGCTTCTTGATGTTAATGTCATCAATGGCCACTCTCAGCGATTCTGTTATCAAAACAGTGTAAACTAGTGTAAATATGAGTATGGACCAGATGTTAATTCAGCTGCTAATAACATAACTTAAAAATATAATATTATACAGATTGAGACTTTACTACTGACATCCTCACTAAATCTCCACCTGTGCTAGGTGGTTGTAATTTGGTTTATAGGGCTGTGACATACCTCTTATAGACAACATCATGATGCGTTCTGCAGGTGTGGACACACCATTGCTACCCATACACACATAGTCCCCAGTATCCTGGACGTTAACCTGCGAGATGATCAGAGTACCGTTGTCAAACACTGCAAACTTGCCACCAGACAGGACTTGGTTGCCTCCCTTGGTCCAGGAAACAGAAGGGCGGGGCGTACCATATGCTTGGCAGTGAAGGAAAGCGTTACCTCCTGGCTTCACTACAATCTTGGCAGGAGTTGGGAAGATTCCTATGGCCACTACAATGATGGAAGAACTTGTCACAGTGATGTACATTACCCTTATATGTACATGTGTCAGTGA